TCTGTTTTGGGTGGGGGGGTGGGGGTCTGGAAGCCTGGGTTCTATTTGGAGAGGGGAGGTCTTGGACACCTGGTTTCCCTGTTTTGGGAGAGGTCTTGGCACCTGGGTTCCCAGAGGAAATGGGATTGGTGGGGAGCAACCCCCCTCTCCTTCCCTGATGTAACTGCCTGCAATTTCCTCCTCTGATGACATCACAGCTTTAGTCACAGCTCGGCCATGCCCCCCCTCCTGCCAGCCAAGGGGGAACCCAGGACACCTGGGTTCGTGAATGGGGGGTGGGGGAAGGCAAATCCTGTTAACCCCTTGGCGCCCACAGCCCTGACTGTGCCCCCCATCCCATGCATCTTTCCCCCTCACCCCTTGCAGGACTGCAACGAGGAGCAGAGGACCCAGGCATCCAAGCCATGCGGGAGGAGGTGGAGGCAGGAGCCCGGTTCCTGGCGCAGCTGCTGACGCGAGGGGTACCTGGGGGGACGGAGGAGCTAGGTGCCCACCTGGCCACGGCCCTGAGCCAGCGCTACCACAGCCACTGGTACCCGGCCCAGCCGGCCCGTGGCCAGGCCTACAGGTATGGGCGGGGGCACCTCCCAGATGCCTGGGTTCGTCCCACAGGGACCCCAGATGTCTAGGTTTAGCCCCGAATGCCTGGGCCCACCTCATGGCTATCCCTGGACACCTGGGTTTGTACCTGGATGCCTGGTTCCACTCCCCACAGCCAGACCCCAGACGCCTGAGTTCATCCCATGGACCTCTAGGTTCAGCCCTGGACTCCTGGGTTCACCCCACAGCTGGTGGGGTGCCCAGGGAATGGCTGTCCAGACACCTGGGTTCACCCATAGCTGGCCCCTGGATGCCTGGGTTCATCCTCAGATGCCTGGATCCAATCTGCGACTGGGCCCCAGATGCCTGGGTTCAACACATGGCCAAGCCCTGGACACCTGGATTCATCTCCAGATGCCTTGGTCCACCTCACAGCCATTCCCCGGGCACCTGGGCTTATCCCATGGGACACCTTGGACATCTAGGTTCGGCCTCAGATGACTGGGTTCATCCTGTGGCCAGCCCCTGGATGCCTGTGTCCACCCTCAGGTGCCTGGGTCCACCCCATTGCTATTCCCAGCCTCCTGGGTCCATCCTATGGCCAGTCCCGGACACCTGGATCCATTCTACAGCTGGCCCCTGGACCTCTGGGTTCATCCTCAGATGCCTGGATCCACCCTGTAACTGGGCCCCAGACTCCTGGGTTCATCCCATGGGCACCCCTGAACATCTAGGTTCAGCCCCAAATGCCTGGTTCAACCCCGGATGCTTGGATCCACTCTGGAGCCAGGCCCCGGACACCTGGGTGTTCAACCCCAGATGTTTGGATCTACTCTGCAGCCAGGCTCCGAACACCTGGGTTCACCCTGCAGTGAGTCCCCGGATGCCTAGGTTTATCCTGCAGCCACCCTTCAACATCTAGGCTTGCTCCAGATGCCTGAGTTCACCCCATGGTCAGCCGCCAGATGCCTAGGTCCCCAGGGGGGACCTCTCCCACTCCCCTGACTCTCCTGACACCCCCCCGCAGGTGTATCCGCATCGAGGCAGGGGCACGGGCAGATGCAGCTCTGGTGGGGGCTGCCCAGGCTGCAGGGCTGGACTGGGCCATGCTAACGCTGCCCCCCGACCTCGCCCTCTGGATCGACCCCGGCGAGGTCAGCTGCAGGTGAGCCTCCACCTCCTGGACGCCTGGGTCCCTTGTGGTCCTCCATGGGCGCCTGGGTTCTCTCCTCCACCCCATGGGACCTTCCTGGACTCCTGGGTTCTCTGCTCCCCCCAGGCTGGGTGAACACAACCCCCCGTTCCGGATTGGGCTGCTGGTGACCTCCGACCCTGAGACCCCAGAGGAGCCCTCAGCCTCACCAACCCTGTCGGACATGACCTCATCAGTGATGTCATCGGAGGATGAAGCCCCACCCCCACAGCGACGACCACGCCCCAGTCGCACCCCGCCGCGGAAGCCCCGCGCCCAGGTAATGCCCCCCCCACCAAGCTAGCCACCCCCAGTCCTGTTACACCCAGCCCAATCCTCCCCAGACCCAGCTGCCCCCAGCTCCATTCCACCCAGCCTGGCTCCCCCAGAGCCAGCCGCAACGAGTGCCATTACACCCAGCCCGGCCCCGCAAGAGCCACTCTCCCCAGCCCTGTTACACTTAACCCAATCTCCCCCAGAACCAGCTGCCCTCAGCCCTGTTGCACCTAACCCAGTCCCCCCACCAGCACTGTTATGCCCAGCCCGGCCCGACAGAACCCGCTGCCCCCAGTGCTGTTACACCCAGCCTAATCCCCGCCCCGCCAGCCACCCCTAGCACTGTTACACCCAACCCAATCCCTCTTGGGGCCAGCCGCATCCCTATACTAACCCCTGCTCTCTTTTCTCCTCCCCACCGCAGGCATGCGACGTGCTGTACGTCCCAGCCCCACTGTGGCTACCTGGCCCCCAGCCCCTGGTGGGCTTCGTCCCCTCCCTGCCCCCCCTCACCCTCCTCTACCTCGGGGGGCTGGGAGGGGCCCCCAAGCTCTCCCGGCCCAAGAAGCCAAGTCCTGAGCGGCTCCGGAGACTCACCCACCGCACGGGCCGGGCCTGACCTCTCCCCTCGAAGGGTTGAAGACTGCCTGGGCTGAGACCAGGTGAAACTGGACAAGTGACAGCTGCTCCTGGATGCCTGGGTTCTCCCCAGCTCTGCAGGGAAGGATGGGCTGGGGGGCCGGGGACCCCAGACACCTGGGTCCTGTGAAGGCAGGGGGCCTGGGGGCCCGGACACCTGGGTTCTCTGGGTGGGGTGAGAGCAGGGGGGCCTGGGAGCCCGGACGCCTGGGTTTATTGCCTGGTTCCTACCTCAGCTGTACAGAGTCATTGGTGCCTTTAACTTATCTCTTCCCTGGGTCTGTCCAGGCTGTTGTGGGCGGGGCCATATTTACATATGCAGTTTTTTAGGGGAGGGGCCATAAACTCCTCCCATTTGTAATAAAAAGCCTTAAAATGTTAATAAGCGCGCGCGCGCGCGCGTGTGTGTGTGTGAGAGAGTGAGATTCCAGAGCCCAAATGTACCTGGGGGGATAGGCTGCGGGGGAGAGGGGTACCAGGATGTTACTGGGAGGGATGGAGGGCCCTGGGAGTGGGGAGCATTAAACAGGGTACTGGGCTTTTACTGGGGTGGGTGGGGGGCAGTGGGACTGGACTGGGATGGTACTGGGATGGACTGCAGGGTCCTGGGAAAGACTGGGGAGAAAGTGGGGAGTTACTAGGACAAACAGGGTACTGGGATAGATGGGTGAAACAGGTGTTACTGGGATAGACGGGTGTACTGGCATAACGGGGGGGAAATTGGGGTGTTATTGGGATAGACTAGGGAGAACCTGGGGTGTTATTGCAATAGACTGGGGTGTACTGGGATAAAATGGGAAAACAGGGAATAGATTGGGGGGATTACTGGGCTAGACTAGGTGGAAACTGCGGTGTCACTGGGATAGACTGGGTGTACTGGGATAAAATGGGGGGTGTTATTGGAATAGACAGGGTACTGGGATAAACGGGGAGCTGAGATAGACTGGGTTTTACTGACATAGAATAGGGGAAACTGGTGTTATTAGGCTACACTAGGGAGAACCTGGGGTGTTACTGGGAGACTTCAGTGGACTGGGATAAAATGGGAAACAATATTACTGGGACAGACTGGAGTTTACTGGGATAGACTGGGGGACACCGGGGTGTTATTGGGATAGACTAGGGAGATACTGGGGTGTTACTAGGATATACTGGGAGTCTTGGGATGGGCTGAGGGAGACTGGAATGTTACTGGGATGAGCCACGGGGCTAAAAGGGGGGTGCAGGGGCAGGACGGGTTGGGGACTGGGAGCTCAGATGCTTGGGTTCCCTGTGCATGGTGACAGGTGAGGAGCGGGGCAAAGAGCCCCCAGGGCTGCTACAGTGAAACCTGGGACAACCCCCCTCAGGCGTACAGGGCCGAGCACCAGTGCCCCTCACTCCTGACCTGCAGCCCCTGTGCCCAGGGCCCGATTCATTCTTTCCGCCCCGGGCCCCTCCCGTCCTGCTGTGATTCATCCTTTCTCTTCCTCAGGGTTGATCTTGGTTCCTTTCCCGCCCGACATACAGCTGCTTCTGGGGTGGGGCTGAGCACACAAGGTCCCTTGTCCTCGGGGCAGGAAAACATGCAGCTGGCTCTGGGGTGGGGGGCTGCAGGTCGGGAGTGCGGGGCACCAGGAGAGTAGGGGGCTGCAGTTCGGGAGTGAAGGGCACCAACAAGGCTGGGCAAGCCTGGCTCGGGAGGGCAGGACCTGGGTAGAACAGGGGACCCCCAGGATGCACCTGGCTCTGGGGGGCCTGGGCTGAGTGTAACGGGCCTAGGGGTGGCTGGATCTGGGGTGGGGCCTTCAGGGACTGAGTGTAACCAGCCCCGGTGACTCGGGCCTGAGTCACATCCTGATTGGGTTCCTGCTGGGGGGGCCATCTGCCCTTGGCACTGACAGGGGGCTGCAGGGTGGGAGTGAGGGGTACTGGCAAGGCTGGGGTTGGGGGGCTGCAGGTTGGGGAGTAAGGGGCACCAGCTAGTCCCTGCCGGTGCCTCTCACTCCCAATCCTCAGTCCCCACTGCTGGCATGTGCTGCCAGGCTCGGTGGGTGCCAGGCGCAGGGCACACCCCGTCCCGCCCTCTCGCCACCCGTCCTCCTGCTGCCCGCCGGTGTGTGTCTGCACAAGCGGGCTGGCTGCGTTTGTCTGTCCTGGTCCCCTGCACCCCCCACCTCGTGCGCGTCTGTCCGTCAGCCCTGGCGACCTCCTGGCTGCTGAAGCGGCGGGGGGGCTGGGGGGCCCCCAGGGTGGGTCCCCCCCCAGATCTGCCCCAGCCCCCAGGCCTGCCCCAGGACGCCCCACCGGCCCCCAAGGGGGGAGCCCACCGGCGCT